TTCCAGCCCAGCTGTCACAGCTCTAAGACACAGGGACCGAGGGAGAAGCCAAGAGAGGCAGGAAGAGGTGGCAAAGGAGTGCTACAGAAGATAAGGAGGCTGAGCTCCAACAGGGAGCAGGGAGGAGGGGCCATCTTGAGACTGGTGCCCTGCAAGCTCCACCCCACCCCTCCATGCAGTTCCCCATGGGCCCTGCCTGCATCTTCTTGAGGAAAGGCATTGCTGAGAAACAGCGGGTGAGGTGGGGAGAGAGGGAAGGGTGGTGGGCAGGGCAAGGGGAGCAGGAGTGTGGGACAAAGAAGAGGACATGATGGTGCCATAGAACCAGGGGAACAGGCTGATAGAGCAGGAGCTGAGAGGTACAAGAATTCCAAGGACCCTGGTGGGGTCATGTAAGCCAGTGAGATAAATGGGTGGGGGTAAAATCAGAAGTCAGGAGCAAAAAGAAGGAGAGAAAGGGAAGAAAAATGAAGAGAAGTGGGATGATGTCATTGTTGAGATTACCATTATCCTTTTCTATGGATGCTTATTGTGATAACAGTGGTGATGGTGGTGATGATGGTGGTGGTGGTGGTGATGATGGTGATGGTGGTGATGATGGCGGTGGTGGTGATAATGATGGCATTGATGATGGTGCTGATTATAGTGGTGATGGTGATGATGCTGGCAGTGGTGATGGTGGTGGTGATGGCGATGATGGTGGTGATGGTGGTGATGGTGGTGGTGATGGTGATGATGGTGGTGGTGATGGTGATGGTGGTGATGATGGTGGTGGTGATGGTGATGATGATGGTGGTGATGGTGATGATGGTGGTGGTGGTGATGATGGTGATGATGTGATGGTGGTGATGAGGTGGTTATGATGATGGTGATGATGGTGGTGATGATGGTGATGGTGATGGTGGTGGTGGTGATGATGGTGGTGATGGTGATGGTGGTGGTGGTGATGGTGATGATGGTGGTGGTGATGATGATGGTGGTGATGGTGATGATGATGGTGGTGATGGTGATGATGATGATGGTGGTGATGGTTAATGATGGTGATGGTGGTGGTGGTGATGATGGTGGTGATGATGATGGTGATGATGGTGATGGTGATGGTGGTGGTGGTGATGATGGTGGTGGTGGTGATGATGGTGATGGTGATGGTGGTGATGATGGTGATGGTTATGATGATGGTGATGATGGTGGTGATGATGGTGATGGTGATGGTGGTGGTGGTGATGATGGTGGTGATGGTGATGGTGGTGGTGGTGATGGTGATGATGGTGGTGATGGTGATGATGATGGTGGTGATGGTGATGATGATGATGGTGGTGATGGTTATAATGATGGTGATGGTGGTGGTGGTGATGATGGTGGTGATGATGATGATGGTGGTGATGGTGATGGTGGTGGTGGTGATGATGGTGGTGGTGGTGATGATGGTGATGATGATGGTGGTGGTGGTGATGGTGGTGGTGGTGATGATGGTGGTGGTGGTGATGATGGTGATGATGATGGTGGTGGTGGTGGTGATGGTGGTGGTGGTGATGATGGTGGTGGTGGTGGTGGTGATGGTGGTGGTGGTGATGGTGGTGATGATGATGATGGTGGTGATGGTGATGGTGGTGGTGGTGATGATGGTAGTGGTGGTGATGATGATGGTGATGATGATGGTGGTGGTGATGGTGGTGGTGATGATGGTGGTGGTGATGATGATGGTGATGATGGTGATGATGATGATGGTGGTGGTGGTGATGGTGGTGGTGGTGGTGGTGGTGATGGTGATGATGGTGATGATGGTGGTGGTGGTGGTGGTGGTGGTGGTGGTGGTGATGGTGATGATGGTGGTGGTGGTGGTGGTGATGATGATGGTGGTGGTGGTGGTTATGATGATGGTGATGATGATGATGTTAATAACAATAGCTGCACTTATTAAGTCATTGCTGTGTGCCCAGCCCTGTGCAAAGGGATTTGCACGCCTGATATTATTTACACCTCGGAACAACTCATAAGGTCAGTGGCTTTCATTCCCATTTTGCAGGTGAGGAAAGTGAAGCTCTGAGTCATGAAGCCCTTTGCCTTAAGCTTACACAGTTAGTAAGTGGCAGGGTTGGCCAAGTACAGTGACTCATGCCTGAATCCCAGCACCTTGGGAGGTAAAGGCGGGAGGATCACTTAAGTCCAGGAGTTTGAGACCAGCCTGGGAAACTCAGCAAGACCCCATCTCTATTAAAAATACAAAAAAATAGCTGGGCATGGTGGCATGCATCTACAGTCCCAGCTACTCAGGGGGCTGAGGCAGGAGGATCGCTTGAGCCAAGGAAGTGGAGGCTGCAGTGAGCCCTGATTATGCCACTGCACTCCAGCCTGGGCAACAGAGTGAGACTCTGTCTCATTTGAAAAAAAAAGTAAGTTGCAGGGTCAGGTCTGCTTGATTCCTGTGGGCATGCTTTTTAAATTTTTTAATTTATTTTTTATTTTTCCATATATATCAACTTGTCCAGATATGTGGGCATACTTTTTTTTTTTCTATTTATGGATTTATTTAGGGTAAATTAAGGGCAAGTATAGTTTTTCTTTCTTAGATGAATGGGCATACTTTTAATTGTTAGGCTTTAAGATCACCAAAAAAAGAGAATGAAAAAGGCCAGGTGGTGGCTCACGCCTGTAATCCCAGCACTTTGGGAGAGCGAAGCAGGCGGATCATGAGGTCAGGAGTTCAAGGCCAGCCTGGCCAAGATGGTGAAACTCCGTCTCTACTAAAAATACAAAAATTAGCTGGGCGCTGTGGCAGGTGCCTGTAATCCCAGCTACTAGGGAGGCTGAGGCAGGAGAATTGCTTGAACCCAGGAGGCGGAGGTCGCAATGAGCTGAGTTCACACAACTGCACTCCAGCCTGGGTGACAGAGCAAGACTCTGTTTCAAAAAAAGAGAGAGAGAAAGAATTAAAAAAGGGTGATGAGGGATCGCAAGGAGGGGATCAGATGAAAGAGAAGCTGAGGGAAAGCTCCGGGGATAAAGGGAGATGGGAAGGTTAAAGAGGCCAGTGATCAGTAGAATTTCCTTGTTAACATGCCATGTATATCTAAGCTCAACCCTTCAGGTATGTGCAGGAGTAGGTGGGGCAGCAATAACTGGACATTCTCAGAGTGTTTAGGAATTGGTCATGCTGGCACTGACCCTCCTGCCTGAATGCCATTGAATGCTGTTTCTGTGCACAGGGATTCTAACCATTGACAGGAAGATTGGAGGCAGGTGAGAAGGAATTAATGGGGGTTAGTGTGAAGAATTCTGACTTGGGAGTCAGGAGCCCTGAATTCAAATCCCAAAGCTGCGTCTGACTTGCCCCATGACCTCCAGGGAGTAACTGAATGCCTTCCTCCCTTGGGAGGGGATCTGCCGCTTGTGAGCTGTGTGACCTTGTGCAGGTTCCTTCACCTCTCTGTTCCTCAGCTTTCTCATGGGTACAATGGAAACGAGATGTAGATCCACTTCACAGAGATGTAGATCCACTTCTGAGGTTTATATGAAATGATTGTGGAAACTGCCTGGCACAGAGTCAGCACTCTGAATGAGTTAGCTGTGGTTGTGAAGTCTCGCTTTTTTCATCTGGTGATGGAAGAGATTGGACTCCCCAGTGTTTAAGACCCCCTTTGACACAATATGATGGGTGTTTGTCTAAGAAAGGGAGAAAAAGGGAGATCGGGATTCATGGGTGGGGGAGAGGAATTGAGATCGAGTGGGGAGCCAAGAACTGTGGAACAGGAGTCAGGAGATGAGAAAAGGAATGGGAGGGATGGAGGAGGAGAGAGAATGGGAAGAGAACCATGAGAGAGTGGCGAGGAGCTTGGGATAACAAGGAGACCTTTGAAGAATGGGTGACCCTCTCTCCAAATTCCCTCTCATCTGCATTCCTTTCCAGGAAAGACCACTGGGACAAGATGAGATTGAAGGTAACTCCGTATTCCCCAGTTGCCCCCACGTTGCCATCCACCCACCTGACCTGCCCTCCATCCCTTTCTGAATTTCTGTATAAATTCCTTTACATGGAATTTTTACAATCCCCCTCTCTTCCCACTCAACTGTAATTTTGTGGAACTCTTTCTCATGGCAGTTGAAGGACCTCCCAAAGTATTTCGAAGGCATACCCATCCTCAAGGGTCTCCAAGACTCAGGAGTGAAACAAATGAGTTTCTCTCTTGGTGACTTTGAGGTTCCCCAAAACTTCACCCAAGAATCTGAAGGATGCCAGTGCTCTCATTTAGTGGTCTCAGGAATGATGCCTCTTTTGCTAACACATTTCATCCATCACTCTTTTTTGAAAAAAAAAAAATTTTTTTTTGAGACAGTGTTTTGCTCTTGTTGCCCAGGCTGGAGTGCAATGGCACGATCTCGTCTCACTGCAACCTCTGCCTCACAGGTTCAAGCAATTCTCCTGCCTCAGCCTCCCGAGTAGCTGGGATGACAGGCACCCACCACCACGCCCAGCTAATTTTTTGTATTTAGTAGAGATGGGGTTTTGCCATGTTGGTCAGGCTGATCTCAAACTCCTGACTTCAGGTGATCCAACTGCCTCGGCCTCCCAAAGTGCTGGGATTACAGGCATGAGCTACCACACCCAGCCTTGATTTTTTTTTTTTTTTTTTAATGTACACTCCTTTAAGGAGTCTCTAGTTGGAGCCTCACTGATAGCTTTAAGAGATGGCATTCTTCCCCACTGACTGTTTCAAGTTCCCTCAATGTTCCCTCCTAACTTTCAGAGCTGCGGGAAGCATTTCTTGAGTTCGACAAGGACCGAGATGGGTTCATCTCTTGTAAGGATCTGGGGAATCTCATGAGGACAATGGGTTACATGCCCACAGAGATGGAACTGATTGAGCTCGGCCAGCAAATCCGCATGAACCGTGAGTCCAGGGAATGGGAGGGACGGCCGAGGTTAGGGAAGGGATCAGGGCAGAATTGGGAAGGATGTAGAGATTGAGAGTAGAGTTGGGGATGGAGAGGAGGGTGAGAGGGACTAGAAGTCTGGAAGAAAACAGGTCAGATTCGACTCAGGAAGGCAGCATTTGAAGCGGTTAAAAGCTTTTAGAGATAGGTCTGTGTTCAAATCTCAGTTCTATTATTTACTAATTACGGTGATTTTGAAAAGCAGAGTTATCCGCTACTCTTGAGTTTCCATTTCCTCATCTGTAGAGGAAGATGCTTCTCTCCTTACCTTATGGGACTATGGAAAGGAAGGGGTAAAGATGCTGATGCAGATAAAGGCTCAGCCTCCAGTAAATTCTTATTAAATGTAGTTATTACTATCACCACTAAGATCCATCAGCTGAGCAAGAGACTGGAGCTGTATTGGATGCTGGAAACAAACTTGGAGCTGGAGCTGATGTTGGTGAATTGTGTTACAGAAAGGATGGATGGATTTTTTGATGGAGATCATAACTGATTTTGAGATTTCAGCTAGAATGAAATTGCTATTGAGGCCGGGCACGGTGACTCACATCTGTAATCCCAGCACTTTGGGAGGCTGAGGTGGGCAGATCACCTGAGGTTAGGGGTTTGTGAACAGCCTGGCCAACTTGGTGAAACCCCGTCTCTACTAAAAATACAAAAAAAATTAGCCAGGTGTGATGGCGGGCACCTGTAATCCTAGCTACTCGGGAGGCTAAGGTACGAGAATCGCTTGAACCCGGGAGGCAGAAGTTGCAGTGAGCCAAGATCGTACCATTGCACTCCAGCCTTAGCAACAGAGTGGACTCTGTCTCAAAAGAAAAAAAAAAAAAAGCAATTGGGTTTGCTTCTGGGCATGTAACAGACTAAACAAGGTTGAATGCAAGGTAATGATAAATGATAATATTCGTACCTGAAAGAAACTTGAATGCTCATTTAATTCATGCTCCTCTTTCTACGGGTCTACAGAGGAGGAGAAACATCGTAACCAACTGTCTGAAAATCACACAGACAGTTACTTCCAACGTACCGCACCCTGTCCACTCCTGTTCAGGCTAGAGGGACATGAGAGCTTGGAGTTGGCTGCTGGAGGGAGGAAGTCAAAGACGGCTCATATAGCGCAGGGAGATAGGAGCTGATCTATTTCTGGAACTGACTCAAAGCACAAAGTGAGATAATGGAAGGCCGGGGCTTGTGGGGTCTCGCTAATCCTGTGCCATCTTCCTCAGTGGGTGGCCGTGTAGACTTTGATGACTTTGTGGAGCTGATGACCCCCAAATTGCTTGCAGAAACAGCTGGGATGATCGGTGTCCAGGAGATGCGGGATGCCTTCAAGGAGGTGAGTTAACAGTGTCATGGTGCTGGTGACGGTAGAGGCAGACCCCAGAGGGTCTGCCTATAATTAGCTATTACCATGGACAGCACCCACCAACTAGGCCCCCACCCCTTTTTTTTTCTAGCCATGGTGGGATCGATAAATAGGGAAGAAAACTAATGTATTCCAAACACCTGCAATGGATCAATTCCTCTGTATACTTTCTCTGATTTAATCCTCAACACACACACACACACACACACACATTAGGAGTAGCAAGCAGTCATGTATCCCAATGAAACAAATGAGAAAAGTGAGGCTCATGAAGATTATAAATCTTATCCAAGATCCTGCCGTCTCTAAAATAAATGTCAGGATTTTTTTTTTTTTTTTTTTTGAGATGGAGTTTTACTGTTGTCCCAAGGTGGAGTCCAATGGTGTAATCTCAGCTCACTACAACCTCTGCCTCCCGGGTTCAAGCCATTCTCCTGTCTCAGCCTCCTAAGTAGCTGGGATTACAGGTGCCCGACACCACACCCAGTTAATTTTTGTATTTTTAGTAGAGACGGGGGTTTCACCATGTTGACCAGGCTGGTCTCGAACTCCTGACCTCATGATCCGCCCACCTCGGCCTCCCAAAGTGCTATTACAGGTGCCCGCCACCATACCTGGCTAATTTCTTTTGTATTTTTAGTAGAGACGGGGATTCACCATGTTGGCCAGGGTGGTCTTGACCTCCTGACCTCAAGCGATCCACCAGCCTTGATCTCCCAAAGTGCTGGGATTACAGGTGTGAACCACCGTGCTTGGCCAAATTTTTAATTGTGTTTAACCAATGGATTTCAATTAAATTATTTATTTAATGTCCATTTATATGCAATTGAATACAAATTCCAGTATTTAAGTATGATTCTTGCAGGTTGTACATAGTTACGCACGCCTGTTATCCCAGCACTTTGGGAGGCCGAGGTCGGTGGATCACTTGAGCCTAGGAGTTCAGACCAGCCTGGGCAACATGACAAAACCCCGTCTCTACAAAAAAAAATACAAAACTTAGCCAGGCATGGTGGCACACGCCTGTAGTCCCAGCTCTTTGGGAGGCCGGGATAGGAGGATCACTTGAGCCAGGGAGGCAGAAGTTGCAGTAAGCCAAGATTGCGCCACTGCACTCCAGCCTGGGTGACAGAGTGAGACCTTGTCTCTAAATAAATAAATACAGTTTATTTAAATTTAAAAACAAATACTTCATTCTATTTACTTTATTGTAAAGCTCTTGTCTAGAATGACTTGGGTATGTGAATTCACCTCTTCAACTGTTAGTGTTATGTAGAAGCCTAGGAACAGATTGAATATTTCTGATAAAAAATTGTCTGGACCAGGCGTGGTGGCTCACCCCTGTAATCCCAGCAGTTTGGGATGCTGAGGCAGGTGGATCACTTGAGGTCAGGAGTTCAAGACCAGCCTGGCCAACACAGCAAAACCCCGTCTCTACTAAAAACACAAAAATTAGCTGGGCGTGGGGGTGGACACCTGTAATCCCAGCTACTTGGGAGACTGAGGCAGGAGAATTGCTTGAACCTGGGAGGCAGAGGTTGCAGTGAGCCGAGATCACACCATTGCACTCCAGCCTGGGTGATAAGGGTGAAACTCCATCTCAAACCAAAAGAAAAAGTTGTCTGGATTAAGAAGTGCTGTAAGTGTAAAGTAAACACTGGATTAAGACTTAGTATACTTAATATAATTAGTGTAATATACTAGTATACTTAAGTAAACTTCTATGCTAAGTATCATAATGAAGATGCTAAGCACCTACTGAGAACTTAGAACTTACTGCCTTGTGAAATCCAGTGTGCATAAAAAGAATGCTACCTACAGAGCTACTTAATAATTTTTAAGTGGATTACATGATGAAATGATAACACTTTCGATATATTGGGTTAAATAAAGAGACCATTAAAAATCAGTTTCATTTGTTCCTTTTAACTTTTTAAAAATGTGGCTACTAGAAAATTTTAAGGCCAGGCGTGGTGGCTCACACCTGTAATCCCAGCCCTTTGGGAGGCCGAGGCAGGTGGATCATCTGAGGTCAGGAGTTTGAGACCAGCCTGACCAACATGGAGAAACCCCGTCTCTACTACAATTACAAAATTAGTGGGGTATGGTGGTGCACGTCTGTAGTCCCAAGTACTCCAGAGGCTGAGGCAGGAGAATTGCTTGAACCCGGGAGGCAGAGGTTGCAGAGAGCCGAGATCATGCCACTCTATACAGCCACATAGAGATCATAGCAGATCTCTGGAACCTATCTTGCACTCCAGCCTGGGCAACAAGAGTGAAGCTCCATCCAAAAAAAAAAAAAGCTGACTAGTATTCCATTGTGTGGTTATGCCACATTTTCTTTATCCACTCTTCTGTTTTGATGGACACAGGTTGCTTCCATACCTTGGCTATTGTGAATAGTGCTGCCATGAGCAGGGGAGTTCAAACATCCCTTTGACATACTGATTCCAATTCCTTTAGGTACATACCCAAAAGCGGTATTGCTGGGTCATATGGCAGCACTAGGTTTAATTTTCTTTTTTTTTTTTTTTTGAGACTGAGTCTGGCTCTGTCGCCCAGGCTGGAGTGCAGTGGCCGGATCTCAGCTCACTGCAAGCTCCGCCTCCCGGGTTTACGCCATTCTCCTGCCTCAGCCTCCCGAGTAGCTGGGACCACAGGCGCCCGCCACTTCGCCCGGCTAGTTTTTTGTATTTTTTTTTTTTTAGTAGAGATGGGGTTTCACCGTGTTAGCCAGGATGGTCTCGATCTCCTGACCTCGTGATCCGCCCGTCTCGGCCTCCCAAAGTGCTGGGATTACAGGCTTGAGCCACCGCGCCCGGCCTAATTTTCTAAGGAACCCCCATACCACTTTCCATAATAGCGGTGCTAATTTCCATACCCAGCAAAAGTGTACCAGGGTTCCCTTTTATCCACATCTTCACCAACACTTGTTATTATTCATCTTTTTGACCATAGCCATCCTAACAGGTGTGAGGTGATATCTCATTGTGGTTTTAATTTAAATTTCCCAAATGATTAGTGATGCTGAGCATTTTTTTCATGAACCTGTTTACCATTTATTTGTCTTCTTTAGAGAGATAGCTGTTCACGTCTTTTGCCTGTTTGTCTTCTTTAGAGAGATGGCTGTTCATGTCTTTTGCCCATAGTTATTAGGTTGATGCAAAAGTAATTGTGGTTTTGCCATTAAAAGCAATATCTGTCATTATGCAGTATTACTAGTTATAGGCACAATGTCACACAGCAGATCTCCAGAACCTATCTTGTATAACTGAAACTTTATACCCATGGTACGGTATCTCCCCGATTCCCTGTCCTCCCAACCCCCAGCAACTATCCTTCTACTCTCTGCTTCTATGAGTTTGGTTATTTTAAGTACCTCATATGTAAGTGGAATTCTGCCGTATTTCTCCTTCTGTGTGGTATATATTTAAACACAATATTCAGCCTTACAAAAGAGAGAAATCCTGCCCCACGCAGCAGCACAGATGAACCTGGAGGACAGTATGCTGTGTGAAATAAGCCAGGCACAGAAGACAAGTATTTCTAAGTGTCTCGCTCGCTGCTCCACGCTCAGTCCCAAGAACAGTGCCTTCCCCATGGGCACTATTGACACATATTATTTTTTAGCAATATGGATACATATGTGTTGAATTAATGAACTGCCTCCAAAGCTCTACCCTGCACACCCTTAACCAGTCTACCAGAAAGTCTAGTATGTTCAATTTCCAAAACATCGGGGAGCCAGCTCTCCTTCTCGAGCTCTGCTGTTGCTAACTGGTTCAAGCCACAGTCATCTCCTACCGGGATGATCATGGCGACCCTCTAATTGGTTTCCAGACTCCCATCATGGTCCTCCCGTGTGGTCTGTTCTCTACACAAAAGGGTTTCATGCTCACGTTCTTTTAAAATATATATCAGATCTGGTCATTCCCCTGCTTAAAATTCTCCAGTGGCTTCTTGTGTTACTCAGAACCAAATCCTGACAACGTCCCATGACACACAAGCCCCTATGTACCTGGGCCCTGCCTTCTGCAACACTGAGACCTTGTCTATTTCATGCTCATCTCTCCCCAGCTCATGCCTCCCTAAACACTGCCTGCTTCTCCCTCTTCCTCAAGTACACCTTCCTGCCTTACAGCACTTGTAAACCTGCAGCTTCCTCAGCCGACAGCAGCGTCGTCCAAAAGAAATACAGTGCAAGTCGCATAGGTCATTTAAAATTTTCTTTCTCTTTATTTATTTTATTTATTTACTTATTTTTTGAGACGGAATTTCGCTCTTATTGCCCAGGCTGGAGTTCAATGGCAGGATCTCGGCTCACCGCAACCTCCAACTCCTGAGTTCAAGCGATTCTCCTGCCTGAGCCTCCTGAGTAGCTGGGACTACAGGCATGTGCCACCACGCCCAGCTAATTTTGTGTTTTTAGTAAAGACAGGGTTTCTCCATGTTGGTCAGGCTGGTCTCGAACTCCTGACCTCAGGTGATCCACCCGCCTCGGCCTCCTAAGGTGCTGGGATTACAGGCGTGAGCCACCGCGCCCAGCATATCCAGCTTTTAAAAAGAAGGAAACTCTATCATTTGCAACAACGTGAATAAACGTGAAGCACATTATATTAAGCAATATAAGCCAGGCACAAAAGGACGAATACCACATGATTTTACACGCAGAATCTTAAAAAATTGAACTCATGCAAATAAAAAGAAAGGTGGAGGTGGTGAGCAGAGACTGGGGAGCCAGGGAAAAAGAATGGACAGTTACTTGTCAAAGGATACAAAGTTTTGGTTAGACAGGAGGAATAACTTTTGAGATCTATTGCACAGCAGGATAACTGTAGTAAATAATAATATATATTTCAAAAATCACTTTGAAAGTAAGTTTCAGATGTATCGCTGGGTACCTTGGCTCACGACTGTAAGCCTAGCACTTTGGCAGGATGAGGTGGAAGGAAGGGTTGCTTAAGGCCAAGATTTTAAGACCAACCTGGCCAAAATAGTGAGACCCCGTCTCATTAAAAAAAAAAAAAAAAAAAAAAGCTTTGGCCGGGCGCAGTGGTTCATGCCTGTAATCCCAGCATTTTGGGAGGCTGAGGCAGGTGGATCAACTGAGGTCAGGAGTTCAAGACCATCCTGGCCAACATGGTGAAACGTTGTCTCTACTAAAAATACAAAAATTAGCCAGGCGTGGTGGCGTATGCCTGTATTCCCAGCTACTCGGGAGGCTGAGGGATGAGAATCGCTTGAACCAAGAGGTGAAAGCTGCAGTGAGCTGAGATTGTACCACTGCACTCCAGCCTGGGTGACAGAGTGAGACTGTCTCACACAAAACAAAACAAACAAAACAAAACAAAACTGTCCTTTGGAGCTGACATGTTAGTGGCTCACATTCCCAAAGCTCTTAGCTCAGTGTCTGATGCACAGTAAGTGACGGGTAAACCATCATCTTGTGGCTGTCGTCGTCATTGCTGATATCATCTACCTCTGCTTCTATTCAGTTTGACACGAACGGAGATGGGGAGATCACCCTGGCGGAGCTGCAGCAGGCCATGCAGAGACTCCTGGGAGAGAGGCTCACTCCCCGGGAGATCTCTGAGGTTGTCCGGGAGGCTGATGTTAATGGAGACGGCACCGTTGACTTTGAAGGTGACATTGACTGGGCGTGGTGGGGAGCGGGGGCAGCCACTGCAGGAATCCACTTCCAACTCACAGTCAGATTTTCCAAGTTGGCCACTCCTCACTCCTCTCCAAGTTGGAGAATGGAAGTGGGTGGCAGGTTTTGGAAGCATTTGTTCCGTCCCTTTCCTCCCAGGCCATTCATTTCAAATGGGTGTCCCTCACATCATGTGGCTCCGAGGAACACCTCAGCCAAGGCCCTTTCCTTCCCATGCTCAGGACCCCCTTCCGCCTTGCCCATTCCTTCTTAGTTTGCAGGGCGCCTTTTATCCTAGGAAGAACTTGTCCCATCGGAAAGAGACTGGACTGGCTAGCAGCTGGAGTTCTGGGGTCAGATTCAGGGGCTTCAAATTCAGGATCATCGCTGACTGAGCATGTAGCCTTATGCTACTCACTTTTTCTCTTAAGGGTCAGTTTTCCCATCTGTAAAATGGGGTGGATGATGACACCTTTTGGAGAAAACTAAAAGAAATCAAGCACAAAGTACCATTGTATTATTATTATTATTATTTTTTTTTTTTTTAGACAGAGTCTCGCTCTGTCGCCCAGGCTGGAGTATAGTGGCACGATCTCGGCTCACTGCAACCTCCACCTCCTGGGTTCAAACAATTCTCCTGCCTCAAGCCTCTGGAGTAGCTGGGATTACAGGTGCCTGCCACCATGCCCTGCTAATTTTTATATTTTTAGTAGAGATGGGGATTCACCATGTTGGCCAGGCTGGTCTCCAACTCTTGACCTCAAGTGATCCGCCCACCCTGACATCCCAAAGTGCTGGGATTACAGGCGTGAGCCACCACGCCCGGCCAACAATAGCTGTTTATGGGAAACTTCATCTTTTTTATGAGCTTTATGCCATTAACAGTCTTAAAAACCATATAAGGAAATAGCAATACTAGGATTCCCATTTTTTTAAACTTAATGTTTTATTTACATGCAAAGATTATTTTCATGACAGAAATGAAGAAACTGCAACATATTGAAATTATTCAGAAGTATGAGCATAATAATAACCACAGTAGTTTACATGGGGTGGCTGAGATGGCAGGCACAGTTCTGAGCAAATCTTATTTACCTATTTTAATTTTTTAATTTTTTTGTAGAGTTGGGGGTCTCACTATGTTGCCCAGCTGGTCTCTAACTCCTGGGCTCAAGCGATCTGCCCATCTCAGCCTCCCAAAGTTCTGGGATTACAGGTGTGAGCCACCGAGCCCAGCCTCTAAGCCAATTTTATCTCAACCTCATGAGATAAATCTATTAAACATGCTGACTTGATAGATGAGAAACTGAGGTACAGGGTTAAGTAAGTTGCCAAAGAGATCTGATTCCCATTTCATAGGTGGAGAAATGGAAGCATAGAGGGATTAAGTAATTTCCCAGGGATCACCAGCCGTGCCTGCCACATAGGAAAGGCTCAAAAAAATAATATTGGGGGCTTTTACAACAAGATGCCTTACTGGGTTTTTTGTTTGTTTGTTTGTTTGTTTGTTTGTTTTTGCTTTGCAGAGTTTGTGAAGATGATGTCTCGCTGAGGAGGTCCTGGAAGCCCCTGGCCCTCTCCACCTGGTCAACATGGAGCAAGTGCTTGTGGAGAACCAAAGCCCCAAAGCCCCAGATCCCCTTAAAGCAGAGAGGGAAGGCAGGCGGGAGAGAGGGATCGGCATGCAGAGCTATGCATGAGGTGAGACCGAGAGCAGTAGTTTTGCCAGGATCGGGGTGTCTGCAGAACTAGATTAACAAGGAGGAGTCTATGGATGGAAATAGGAAGAGTGGGAGGATCCAATTGCCACCCCCAAAAATTCCAATGATTCATGACGTCTTTTCACTTCACGTAGTCCTAAGTCCCTGTGACCTGCCAGAGTCTCTTCCCCAGCTTCCCCTTGGGTGAAAATAGTCTCTTCTCCTTTGGATATCAGAAGGTTCAGCACGTAGTCTCTACTCTTCCCCTGCCTGCATCAACTGTTGCAAATCCCCTGTTTCTCTCTCCTGGTAACAGAGAGACAAATTATGCATTATTCAAGTGATGGTTACATGAACAGCCCAGACTTCACCACTACACAATATACCCGTGTAACAAAACCTCACTTGTACTCCCTAAATCTATAGAAATACAAAATAAAATAAAAAGGATGCGAATCAACCACAGAGCTGGAAACAGAGTTGTTGTTGGGGCTGGGCTTAGAAATGGCTCATGCAAGTGGCATTCAAAGTCAACTCCTTCCTTTTCCTGATTTCCTGGAAGCACTGTCTGGTGTCTCTCTCTCTCTCTCTCTCTCTCTCTCTCTCTCTCTCCCCCGCCCCCTCCCCGCCTCCCACATCCCTTCCCTTGTGTAAGATACTCAGGGGACTGAATTAAACCACAAATCTGGATTATCAAGGTTTAGAGCAAGCTGATCCCTGGGAATTAATCCCCGGAAAAAAATGCCATCATGCAAAGAGAGCGATGACAGGATCCCCCAAATCCCCAGTTCAGCCAGGTTGTTGCGAAGTCTTTCCTGGAAGCCCCCTGCCTTCACGCTGGTCTGTCCTGAGCCACCCAGAGACGATGTCTCTGTTAGATGGGAAGTCTGTTCCATTTCTCATGTCCTGACATCAATCTGTGCTATGAAACAAAAAAGAGAGATTCCTCCTAATCTCAGCCCAAAGCAAGACACTCCAGCAATGCAAAGTTAAAATAAAAGTCAAAATAGGCCGGGCACGGTGACTTACGCCTGTAATCCCAGCACTCTGGGAGGCCAAGGCGGGTGGATCACGAGGTCAGGAGATCAAGACCATCCTGGCTAACACGATGAAACCCCATCCCTACTAAAAATACAAAAAATTAGCCGGGCGTGGTGGCGGGCGCCTGTAGTCCCAGCTTCTCAGGAGGCTGAGGCAGGAGAATGGCGTGAACCCAGGAGGCAGAGCTTGCAGTGAGCCAAGATCGCGCCACTGCACTCCAGCCTAGGCAACAGAGCGAGACTCCATCTCAAAATAAATTAAAAAAACAAAAAGAAAAAGAAAAACAGATTTAATGGCCTCACAGTTCCATGTGGCTGGGGAGGCCTCACAATCATGGCAGAAGGTGAAAGGCACGTCTTACATGGCAGCAGGCAAGATAGAATGAGAGCCAAGAGAAAAGGGTTTCCCCCTATAAAACCATCAGATCTTGTGAGATGTAATCACTACCACGAGAACAGTATGAAGGAAACCACCCCCATGATTCAATTATCTTCTGCCAGGTTTCTCCCACAACATGTGGAAATTATAATTCAAGATGAGATTTGGGTGGGGACACAGCCAAACCACATCAATAGGTAACATGGGAATTATGGGAGCTACAATTAAAGATGAGATTTGAGTGCAGACATAGCCAAACCACATCAATAGGTAAATGGGAATTATGGGAGCTACAATTCAAGATGAGATTTGGGTGGGGACACAACCAAACCACATCAATAGATAACATGGGAATTATGGTAGATACAATTCAAGATGAGATTTGGGCGGGAACATAGCCAAACCACATCAATAGGTAACATGGGAATTATGGTAGCTACAATTCAAGATGAGATTTGAGTGGGGACATAGCCAAACCACATCAATAGGTAGCATGGGAATTATGAGAGCTATAATTCAAGATGAGATTTGGGTGGGGACACAGTCAAACCACATCAATAGGTAACATAGGAATTATGGGAGCTACAATTCAAGAGGAGATTTGGGTGGGGACACAGCCAAACCATATTAATAAGGAACGCTATTAATTATTTAAGTTAAATGTAACTAGCTCCTTGTGGCTAGTGGCTACTGTATTGGACATCACAATTTCATGCTATAAGCCCAGGATTATTCTAGGTACTGGAATGTGCCCAGAAATAAGGTCTTTTGCTTTCTTGGAGGTTACATTCCAGTGCCAAGGGAGAAAAAAAAAAATTAAATCCATTAGAAGAAGCTCGGATTGGGATGGATACTTTGAGGATAAAGTGGTATGGTTAGATACAAAGATAATTTGGGGAAGGGGCTTAATTAGAGTGGTCAAAAAGGACATCTCTATTTTTTTCTTCAGACAGGGTCTTGCTCCGTCACCCAGGCTGGAGTGCAGTGGTGCAATCACAGCTCACTGCAGCCTCGAACTCCTGGACTCAAGCAATCCTCCTGCCTTGGTCTCCCAAGTAGCTGGAACTATAGGTGTGAAGCCACCACAACCAACTAGTTTTTGTATTTTTTGTAGAGATGGAGTGTTGCTATGTTGCCCAGGCTGGTATCAAACTCCTGGCCTCAAGCAATCCTCCTGCCTCAGCCTCCTAAACTGCTGGGATTACAGGTGTGAGTCACCACGCCCGGAGAGAATGGGCATCACTCAAAGGTGAGCTGTCTCAGGTTGGGTTCCCCAGGGCTCCACCTCTGAGAGCAGAGACAGCAGGCAGGAGGCTTATCAGAGAGTTTCTTTGGGATAAATTAAGAAGGGAAGGAACTGGGATTGGACAGAGGGAGAGGTTGAACCACGGTTCAGGCTCTACAACCTCAGCTGAACCCACAGGAGCTCTGGATGTAGCTCTTTTGAGTTATCTCACTTGGATAGGAATAGCCAGGCCTTTAAACCCAGCATTGGTCAGTTATTGGCTGTGACCTGCCCTGGGAAGGGCATCGTTTGGGTGATGGAGGCCACTTTGAAGCTGAGACCATCTCTGATCTGGGCTGACCACCAAAGGCTGCCTGCAGACAGCACTCGCCGGAGCTGGGCAGCAAGTCCTTTATTAAAGGGGGGATCTGGGAAGCTCACGTCCATCTCCATCACAGGGGCAGTTCCACGGACAATGAGTGAAGGGAAGAGGAGCCTTCAGGAAGACAAGGGGGAAGAGAATACGGGCACAAGGAAGGCACAGAGGTGGGCAGGAGAAGAGGGAGGAGAAGAGGGAGGAGGAGAAGGAGGAGAAGAGGGAGGAGGAGAGGGAGGAGGAGAAGAAGAAGAGGGAGGAGGACAAGGGGGAGAAGAGGGAGGAGGAGAGGGAGAAGAGGGAGGAGGAGAGGGAGAGGAGGGAGGAGGAGAGAGAAGGAGATGAAAGAAGAGAAGAGGGAGGAGGACAAGGAGGAGAAGAGGAAGGAGGAGAGGGAGGAGGAAAAGAGGGAGGAGGAGAGGGAGGAGAAGAAGGAGAAGAGAGAGGAGGAGAGGGAGGAGGAGAAGAAGAAGAGGGAGGAGGAGAGGGAGGCGGAGAAAGGAGGAGAGGTAGGAGGAGAAGAAAAACAAGAGGGAGGAGGAGAAGGAAGAGAGGGAGGAGGAGAAGAGGGAGGAGAGTAGTGAGGAGGAGGAGGAGAAAGGAGAATAAGAAGGAGGAGGAGATGGAGGAGAAGAGGGAGGAAGATAAGAGGGAGGAGGAGGAGAGGGAGGAGGAGGAGGAGGAGAGGGAGGAGGAGGAGGAGAGGGAGGAGGAGGAGGAGAGGGAGGATAAGAGGGAGGAGGAGAGGGGAGGAGGATAAGAGAGACGAAGAGAGGGAGGAGGATAAGAAGGAGGAGAAGGAGAGGGAAGAGGAAGGGAGAAGGAAATGGAGAAGGAGAAGAGTGAAAGGAAGAAGAAGAAAGTACGAGAACAACAATGTGAGTTTCCATCTGGGCTGAGAGGGAATCAGATTCTATAATCAGTTCTTGATATCTGCCACGGGCACAGGGGAGGAATGATTGAGGCAGTCCTGCGGTGAATTTTCTATCCTCTGCTTACTTCCTAATTAATTTATTAATAATTTAGTAAGTACCTACAAACACCCCACCCAAATCTGATTTCCCCCAGAAGACAGAGCAGGCTGTAACGACTCCTAGAGGTCTCTGGCCTGAGAGTCTGACCTCTCCACACCGTGAGACTCGACAGCCTGGCCACCAACCATTCCTTTCCCACACATTCACCATCGCTCTCATCTTAGGAAGCAGAGAAGGCAGATCCCAGGGTTAAATCAAGTCTCCTTTATTGGTGGTTATGCCGCATTCTCTCTACGTTCTTCACAAAGGACCAGCTGATCGAACCAGGTAGTTCAGAGGGTATTTCTAAAGGTGGTTACTTAAGCTTGAAAAAGCAATGAGAAAGACGAATCCGTGCTCAGCCTCAATATGGCGGTCCTCCTCTGAAGATGTTTCTCCTCTCCTTGAAAATAGAAGCAAAGATCTGAATGTAATGAATAAGTAGGCATTGGCTCCAAGAGGAAGGTGAATTAAAAATGACTTTGCATTGGTTTTCCAGACTTAGTCGGAAGCTGGGGGACGCAGCTGTGCTGAGAAGAATCAGACGTTCCCCCAACCTCTGCCGGGCTCATAGGAACAGGCCAATGAACAATGAGCCCCTCGACTTCACCTCTATGGTAAGGGGAAGGGGATCGGCAAAGAGCTAGTTCTGCTGTGATGGACAGAAGTCAGAGGCTGGACACTGTTCCTAGTCCTAGCCACAGACCGAAGGCTGCTGTGGGTGTTTTTTAATGTCTACCCTGTTAAGACGGTTCCCAGAGTTCCAACCCCCCTCCTTTCCCTCTCCTCTATTCCGGGAAGACGATTTTCATTGCCAAGGCAAAATTCAGGAAGGGTCCACTAATTTAGTGTCATCCATAAGCCACGTGCGTCGTAAGGACAGACATTGCTAGAACCACCAGTGTTTTCCACCCCAAAGGGAGGAGGGATGGTGTTTTGTCTACACATCTGATGAAAGGGCTTCTCTTTATTTTAGATTTCAGAAGTCACAGAGCAGTGAGGTTCGTTGATCCATGCAGGAGATTTAAAGGGCATTTCTCTAGGCTGGAGAACACTGACACTGGCCTTGGTGGACAGGCAGAAGGAAAAGACGAAAAGAAAAGGAGGGATAGGCCAGGTGCGGGGACTTACACCTGTAATCCCAGCACTTTGGGTGACCAAGTGGATCGCCTGAGGTCTGGAGTTCGAGACCAGCCTAGCCAACATGGTGAAACTCCATCTCTACTAAAAAAAAAAACAAAAAAAAAAACAAAAAAACAAAACCAGGCGTGGTGGTGCACCCCTGTAATCCCAGCTACTCGGGAGGCTGAGGTGGGAGAATTGCTTGAACCCAAGAGGTGGAGGCTGCAGTGAGCCTCCTGAGTAGCTGGGACTACAGGTGTGTGCTACCACACCCAACGAATTTTGTTTTGTTTTGTTTTGTAGAGATAGGGTCTTGCTACATTGCCCAGGGTGGTTTTCAAGCTCCTGGCCTCAACTGATCCTCCTGCCTTGGCCTCCCAAAGCATTAGGATTACAGGTGTGAGTCACCACGGCTGGTCAGTTATCCCCTTTTCTGGATTGTTTTTTTCCTACCACACTCCATTTTGAGAAGTTCCACTTTCCTAATTGTCCACAGCCAAAGCCTCGCAGACTTGAAACTCGGAATGATACCTTTCTGGGTCTGAAAAAGTGCCAGTCTCCCCTCTGCTCTCCTGCTTGTGGGAGAAATCCTAATTTCTTTCATCCTTCTAATCTGGGCAGTTGTTCCAGTCTTCCCCAACTTTGGCAACAGAGCACGCATCGCTGGGAACCTCAGCTAATTAGATATGCTGGAAAATCCAGATCTCGCCTTCACATCAGCGACACTAATCAGACATGCTGGAAAAAGCAGAAATCACCTTCACATCAGAAACGTACCAGGTGTGCACCTGTCTCACCTCTGCATCAGTGAAATGACCACTGTTGGTCCCTGCTCTCACCTCAGCATCAGCAGTACACCCAGGTGTGGTCCTGGTCGTAGTTGTAAGAAGTTGCACACCACACAAGGTTCTCCTTGGATCCTTTGTTAGTGCAGTTAAAATAATTCTTGTTTTTATAGTTGAATGGAAAGTGGCAAGGAAAGCCAGGGACCAATGCGGAAATTCCTAGGAAGCAGAAGGGGATAGGACAAAGGTTACTCCCCAGGTTTCACACTGTCATAGAGGTGTGGGCTTCAGACCCACCCTAGATTTCAAACTGGGGCTGAGTGTGATGGGGTCGTGCCTTTAATCCCAGCACGTTGGGAGACTGAGCCTGGAGGATCACGTGAAGCCAGGAGTTCAAGACCAGCCTACATATGGGCAACATAGCGAAACCCCATCTCTACAAAAAGTTTCTTAAAAAATAAGTTGGGCATGGAGGTGTGTGCCTGTAGTCCCGGCTACTCAGGAGGTTGAGGTGGGAGGATTGCTCAAGCCTGGGAGGTTGAGGCTGCATTGAGCCACCACTGCACTACAGCCTGGGTGACAGATGGAGACCCTGTCTTTAAAATATAAAAAGCTGGCCAGGCGCGGTGGCTCAAGCCTGTAATCCCAGCACTTTGGGAGGCCGAGGCGGGCGGATCACAAGGTCAGGAGATCGAGACCATCCTGGCTAACACGGTGAAACCCCGTCTCTACTAAAAAATACAAAAAACTAGCCGGGCGAGGTGGCGGGCGCCTGTAGTCCCAGCTACTCGGGAGGCTGAGGCAGGAGAATGGCGTGAACCCGGGAGGCGGAGGCTGCAGTGAGCTGAGATCCGGCCACTGCACTCCAGCCTGGGTGACAGAGCAAGACTCTGTCTCAAAAAAAAAAAAAAAAAAAAATATAAAAAGCGGCTGGCTGTGGTGGCTCAAGCCTGTAATTCCAACACTCTGGGAGGCCAAGGTGGGCAGATGAGTTGAGGTCAGGCATTTGAGAACAGCCTGGCCAACATGGAGATACTCCATCTCTACTAAAAGAAAAGAAATACAAAAAAAATAGCTGGGTGTGGTGGCGGGCACCTGTAATCCCAGCTACTCGGGAGCCTGAGGCAGAAGAATCGCTTGAACCCGGGAGGCAGAAGCTGCAGTGAGCCGAGATTGCACCATTGCACTCCAGCCTGGCGACAGAGTGAGACTCCGTCTCAAAAATAAAATAAAATAAAACAAAATAAAAAAAGAAAAAAAAAAAAAAAAAACTAAAATCTAAAATCTGGGTAAACCCTGCACAGGAAGGTGTTGCCTGGGCACTGCTCAGAATGCTGACCCAAACCTAAGCAAAAGAAGAATTTGTGTTCACAGTTACAAGAGCTGAAATGAGCCGAAAGAACACGCCCTTACTGCCCTCGGGTGAGAACATGTGTGTTGGGAAACTCAAACTCAAACTTCCTCACTCTGTGTGTCCACAGATGACTGCAGAAGCGTCACGAGTATCGATTTCGTGAGTGACAAAGTTTAGCGAGTAGGCACATTTGCACCTGTGGAATCCGTGAAAGATGAGGATATAAATGATGTCCTCACAAAAGATGATCCCATAAATAATATGAACTGGACACCTCTATCCACAGCAGCTTGAGGCAACAGAGGGTAAATGGGTCTCAATTTTTGCTGTCACATCTTCTCCCATGACCAGCTGAGAAATAATTTATTTTATTTAGGAAATTCCCGAGTTGTTGGAACAACACACATCCCCACCCACAGCTATTCGCCTGACCCCTTGCCTGGAGTGGTGCAGACCTATAACTCCTTATAGTTCCTCTTTGCCCAAGGACTTCCCTTTCCTTTCCACTGGGCCTTGTGTATTTTCTTCGCTCAGAAGCTATCAGAGTGTAGGACTTGAGAAAGGCTGGAATATAGGGCAGGGCACTGGAATAGGGAAGAAGGGCAGAGTGGAAGCACAGAGGGCGCTGGAGGAAGGAGGGAGAAGGAGAATGCTGGTCACCAGGAGGACCTGGTGGATAGAGGATTTGTCTCAGAGGACCAATCCCAGTGTCCTCATCTTTCATGATTCCACAGGTGCAAATGCGTCTACTTGCTAAACTTTATGACTCACGAAATCGACACTCATGACGCTTCTGCGGCCATTTGTGGGCACACACAGAGAGAGGAAGTCTGAATCTCCCGACACACATGTTCTCAGCTGAGGGGAACAAGGGGATGCTCTTCCGGGTCATTTCAGCTCTCCTACTGTGAACAGGTGCAGTTTGGCAGTCTAGTACGTTTTCCAAATGTGTGAGCCTTTTGTCGGGTGATTTCACTGTTTGTTTGCTTATTTATTTATTTTAGAGGCAAGGTCTTACTCTGTCACCCAGGCTGGAGTGCAGAGGTATGAACATAGCTCACTGCAGCCTCAACCTCCCAGGCTCAAGTGATCCTCCCGCCTCAGCCTCCCAAGTACCTGGGACTACAGGCACGTGCTACCACACTTGGCTATTTATTTATTTATTTATTTTTGTTGTGTTTTGTTTTGTTTTGTTTGTAGAGACAGCGTCTCACTATGTGACCAGACTGGTCTTGAACTCCTGGCCTCAAGTGATCCTTCCATCTCAGCCTCCCAATGTTCTGGGATTACAACGTGAGCCACCATGCCTGGCTCACGCTAGGGTTTTTAAAAGCCTTAGCATGTGTTTATTCTGTATTTGCATCACGGTTAGGTGTTTAACATTTCGAGCATTTCATTTTGGCACCTTTCTCTTGGATTTTAAAGCCTGTGGCATATCACACCATTGACGTTATTCACGAGGCCAGAACTCTGTCTGCCTGATTCAACACCAGATCCTCAGCGCCCAACTCAGTGCCTGGCTCACAATGTGGTTTCAGTAGGTGTTTGTTGAGCAGATGAATGAAAGAATCCACCCACACCCACCCAACTCCCATCCCCAGATTACTGGTGTCGGCACAGAAACTCCACTTTCCATCCTTATCCATGTTCTCTGTGGTCGGGCACCAGAGCTTGTTGCTTTCATCCTCCAGGCAATCGGAGACCACGTTGTTTCTGTAGATGGAGGGGAAGATGCAGGGCTTGCTGAGAGAATTTCCCCCATACTCTGAAAATGATTATGGAAAGGTTACAGGTCAAGAAGAGGAGCTGAAAAGAGCTTCCATTTATGACACAAAAACTGTCCCACGCTTTATCCCATGAAAGGCAACATAGCATTGGATTCTCCAAGCAACTTCTGGATGACGTTATTATCTGGATGTTATGGAGAAGTGAGAGCCAAAATTATCAACTCGCACACAGCTTACTGTCTCCATTAACGTGACTTCACGGTTCTGCGGTCGCCATCACCTTGACTCTATTAAGCTAGGAAATTCTTGTCCCGGAAGATTCTTATCTTGCAAATAGCCTTATTATTCATTCCAGAAGCCTCTAGGAAAGCTATTTACATAAATATCAGACCGTTCAACTTTTTCAGTAGACTGTGTCAAAACACTGTTTACTCTTCCAGACTCTTTGAAACCCCGTCTTTGGTCATTTCACCTTGCTGTGACCACCAACCCTAACTATTATATCATGATCCTTACACAATCCAAATCACATCCCCCACTGAGAGACCCACCTTAGACAAGACCCCAAGACCCCATCAATATGCTGAGTTTTCCCTCCCCACTTCGAGACGTTATTTTTTATTTTTTTAGATGGAGTCTCGCTCTGACACCCAGGCTGGAGTGCGGTGGTACGATCTCGGCTCACTGCAACCTCCGTGTCCTGGGTTCAAGAGATTCTCCTGCCTGGAGATTACAGGCATGTGCCACCCATGCTTCGCTAATTTTTGTACTTTTATTAGAGAAGGGGTTTCGCCATGTTGGCCAGGCGGGTCTTGAACTCCTGACCTCAGGTGATTCACCTGCCTCGGCCTCCCACAGTGCTTGGATTACAGGCGTGAGCCACCACACCCGGCCTGCTATAGTGAGATTTAAGGTTAGTGTTGGTTTATAGTAAAGAACGCAAATGGTGGATGATTAGGACTAGAATAAAATTAAGGTTTAGAGAGAATTAAGATTTGTTGAGTGCTAAGGGAAGAACAGAATTAAGATTTTTATGCAAGAATAAGCATGCCTAGGAATAAGTACCTTCATGGATTTTTGTCTCTGTGGAAGCAACAGTACTTAAGGAGAGAGCGTGCGCTTTGGAACCATATGGACTAGAACTCAAGCTCTAATTCTAATATAGCCTATGACTGTGACCCTGGGAAGTGCTCAGTTTTACTGGGACAATTTATTGAATGGGTGGTGGAGAATAGCAGCTCATAGAGCTGCTATAGAAAGATTCAGGATATTGTATACAAATCTGTTAGATCAGTGTAGTACATAGAGGGCATTGAATGAATTTTGGTCACTATTCACCTGGGATTGTGTGTAGACTTAATAAGATGCTAGGCTGCATTGAAATGCAGGTTGGGGCCCTGCATGGTGGCTCATGCCTGTAATCCTAGCATTTTGGGAGGCCGAGGCGGGTGGGCCACCTGAAGCCAGGAGTTCGAGACCAGCCTGACCAACATGACGAAACCCTGTCCCTAGTAAAAATACAAAAATTAGCTGGGTGTGGTGGCGGGCACCTGCAGTCTCAGCAACTCAGGAGACTGAGGCAGGAGAATCATTTGAACTTGGGAGGCAGAGATTGCAGTGACCCGCGATCACACCAGTGCACTCCAGCCTGAGTGACAGAGCAAGACCCTGAAAAAGAACAAAGAAGGAAGGAAGGAAGGGGGGTGGAGAGAGAGAGAGAGAGAGAGAAGAGGAAGAAAGTGAAAGAAAGAAAGAAAGAAAGAAAGAAAGAAAGAAAGAAAGAAAGAAAGAAAGAGAGAGAGAGAGAGAGAGAGAAAGAAAGAAGGAAGGAAGGAAGGAAAGAAAGGAAGGAAGGAAGGAAGAGGGGAAGAAAGAGAAAGAAAGAAGAAAAGAAAAAAAGAAAGAAAGAAAAGAAAAGAAAGAAGGAAAAGAAAGAAAGGGCAGGTTGGATCTGTCAATGGGTGAATCTCACTATTGTCAGTTCTAGAAACAGAAATACTAGAAGCCAATATCAGGACTTCAGCTCATTGTTTCAGTTCTCAGGACATGGGTCTTTTCATGCTGGATTGGGGACTGGGCAAATGGCCTCGGGATACCCCTGTCTGCAGTTGTCATAGTGAACTCTCTGAGCAGATACTTAGCTCCTGTAAGCACTTCCCCCTTGCTGCTTTGGTCTCTACCTTGCCCGGTCTCCCCTCAAGATGATCCTTGCTGTCCACTCTCCCTCCCACCACACATCCCTGCTACAGGGGCTCACCATTCGTTTCACAGAATTTCCACTGCTGTTTCTCATCGAAGACGGAGGTGACCGAGCACCACAGACTGCCT